CACGTGGAGGACAAGGATCGTGTCACCTCTGGCAGGTGCTGGAGCCGGACCTTGCCCGCACTAGCAGCCGAGACGGCATCTCCCGGGGTTCCATCTGCGTTGATTAGGCTCGTCCACGCATAGTCTTTACTGTGATGACTTGAGGCTTGTTAGCTTGTGCTTAGTGTGTAGTTAGCGCCTTTAAACTGCCGCGAAGAGCATCAGTCTTAAAAGTACTGATCGATCCGTTCAGGAGGGAGAAGAGGCTCACGCTACCGTGCTCCCCGTGGTGCAGTTGCAGTCGTGCACTCTTACGCTCCCACCAAACTCTGAAACCTGAGATTTATGTGTATCTGCTTTAGAAGTCTTGCTGCCATCCTACTTGAAGCTAAAGAAGAGATTAAAAGTTGTTCGGAGCTCTTAAAGCTTGCTTTAGAGGAGTGCACCAAGCATGCATACAGCACACAGTATAATACAGCGACCCCATTGCTCCAACCCACTCCTTTCTTCTGGAGTCTAGTTGTTTTTCCCAGGAGAATTCAGGATGTACATGTGACATAGAATATGATGTTTCTCTTGTATTGGGTATTGATTGTAACTCAAAACTTCAGAGGTAGTACAAAGACTTGGGAAAACAGCCTGTTTGGTTTGCAGCAGTTGCATTGTTCTCATTGTTCTTTACTAGTTGCTCTTGCCCACCCAGCTGGCTGACCAACAGGTAATCTGACTTCAAGACCTAACAGACATCTTATTTACCCCAATAAACTGACTGCAGAGGCTTCCCAGAAAGAGGGAATATAATTACTTAATTATTGCTTAACTGTTCAATTATTTAACAAAATAATTCGTATATACTTTTTGCAAGTAAATAACTTGAATCAGCTAAATATTAGACTGTTAATAAGTACACTTGGGGCTGACACTTGTGTGGTAACAGCTGTTAGTTCAGACACTCACCTAGCAGAAACTTCTGCTGACTGAAACTCTCCATGAGAGGCTGATGCATGCTCTAAGTCAGTGTGCAGTAATGACAGTAGCTTGCTGATGGGTATTGAGCAGTAAGGCTATTAATACCTGAAGGTCGTCAAAAACCTGTTGGAAGAGGAGGAGAAGAAAGGTCAGGGAATGAAATATTGAAGTTAGAACTCTGCACCCTGAGGTGCTCTGTGAGTGAAGCCTTTGAGTGGCTCTAGTGGTTGTTCCTAGGGTTGGATGTGGCTGCATTCTGCAGAGTGGGTGAGCATCTCCAGTGCCACAGGACAGAGTCCTCACTGGGTTGACTTGTGGTCATTCCCAATCTGTGTCAGACTTCTCTACACTGAATTGTTGGAAATACTCAGAGGTTAATCTGTTCCTACCAAAGGCCGCATGCATGGTGCCCCATATGAAACCTCAAACCCAAAACTGCTGCTTGGTTGCTGGTTCTGGTGTCCTTATACATGCACTGGAGCTGGTGTTTTGCTGCTGGCAAACAGGACCTTTGGCTTGTATTCAGTCCCTTCATCAGCAGGGATTAGTGTGCATTGCATCCAGGAGGAAATTAACCCCCAAAGCCTTTCCAGAGTGAATGCTGGAGTGCTGTTCTATTTGAGCCAGCAAATTGCTGCTATGACTCTAAATCTAATAATTGGCTGCAGTATAGCTTTTGGTGGCAGTTTGACTCTGCTTTGCTGACTGGTTGTGGTCTTTGCCTCCTTTGAACACTGCTGTTTTTCGAGGTGGTTGTCCTTGTGATTTGGGGGGGAACAAGGCTTGTTCTGGGGTGTTTGCATGCTTGGCTTGTGTTGAGATCAAGAGGACAGGCTAAGTACTTTTTAGCCTTACTGACTGGACCATTAAATTGGATCAGTGAGTGCTGTAAAATAGCTACTGAGCAAATAAACAACAGTGTTACTGCTCAGCAGCCTTGATTATATGACACTGTCACACACAGACCCTTGGGAATGCAGTGCCTTGGTTGCTCTGCAGGCACAGGTAATGGCTATGTTCTAATTTGTATTTGGATACCACTCTGCTTTCCCTGTCTGTTTCCAGCGTGGAAATAGGAGAGAGTGTACGTGGGGAGGATGTCTACATTGTGCAGAGTGGCTGTGGTGAAATCAATGACAATCTGATGGAGCTCCTGATCATGATAAATGCCTGTAAGATTGCCTCAGCCAGCAGAGTCACAGCTGTCATCCCCTGCTTCCCCTATGCTCGCCAGGACAAAAAGGACAAGGTAAGGGACATGGTGAAGGATTCTGTGGGCAGGTTGAATGCACTCTGACTGCTGGATGGAATTTAGATGAAGCTGGATATGTAGAGGAGGTGATAAAAGCTCTTTTACTTTCTTTAAACTTCAGGGCATTGGACTGCAAATTGGTCTTTTCATAAAGATCTAATTCTTCTAGAAAATATACTGAGCTGTAATCACCAGTTGATGAAAAGATGCAATGTTAATGAGTGCTCCTTTTAGTAACTGCTTGTGAATCATTGCCTGGAAGCAGAAGGCTGACATCTTGATGAAGGAGTTGAACTTGTCTTAAATACTGGGTTTTTTCTGTTCTAGAGTCGAGCTCCAATCTCTGCCAAGCTGGTTGCAAACATGCTCTCTGTGGCAGGTGCTGATCATATAATCACCATGGACCTGCATGCATCTCAGATTCAGGTAGGAGCTAAAGTCAGGGAAGTACTTACTAGCTCCAGTCTGAGCCTCTTGACTGCCTTGCAAGCTTTCCAGCCATCTGCTTTTTTTAGACACAGCAGTGATCAGCACTTAGGGATTTGGGACTGGAAGGGGCCTGTAGCATCAGTCAGAAGAGAATGGGGAGGTGGGTAACAGGTTCATCTGTAAATGAAATTATAGTTCTTGATCAGACTAAGCATATTGAGTCTTGTGTAAATGAGCATTGGGCTAGTAAATGATCAGCTTTGTTGCCACAGTGTGACACTGTGTGTAATTAACTCGACCTTGGTGGAATTTGAGATGGAGAATGGCTTTATCAAGAGTGTCCTTAAATATTGAGTAGAGCTCTCTGATATTTACTGCATTGTCACAGAGAAGTGAGCAGTTAGCTGTGCCCCCAGTGTACTGGCACAGCCGCTGTGAGGGTTAAGTTGAGCAGGACAGCAAACTGATAGCTTGCTGCTGCCAAGATGGGCAATCCCTCTTCTATCCATATAGGTTGGCTTTGGGTCTCTCCCAAGCTGCTGCTGAATTGAAAATCATTCATAGGCTTTGTTAGCTTATGACGTGAAAAGTCTCACAGAGCAATTTAAGTATTGACCAGAGCTGTCTAGGGATCTGGCAAGGGCATTTTCCAGGGAGAGGAGGGGCTGCAAGCTCGATTTAGTCTTACTACTTTCCATGCTGAACAAATGCTCTGAGACCAAGAAAACAACTTGAGAAGGTTGTGACAGAGGGAAGGATGTCTGTTACATTGCTGCAAACACTGAAGTCAGAAGGGTAAGATACCTACTGCCTGGTGAAGCCTGTGTGCTGGCTGTCATCATAACAGTTGACAGTGCAGCCATTCACGTTTCAGCCAAGATTTTCCCAGAAATACTTTGTTTCTGGTGAGAAAAATCTGTGGGAGCACAGGTTTTTTTTCAGAAAGGTCATGAAATAACAGAGCCCAGAGGAGTACACCTCTTGCTTAAGAGCTTGGAGTTGTTGTGTGCAGTAGGGTTGACCTTTCATCCACAGTAGTGGTGGAGATTTAACAGAATAATTTGTGTATCTTACACTTCCAGCATCTGCCTGGTTTCAGCTTGGTTCCCATAGCTGCCGTGTTGCTGAGCAGGGAAGGAATGATGGTAGGAGGGATCTGTTACCTCTGTACCTTGAAGTGGTCCTCAGGAGTAGCTGCTCCCCACTCCCCTGTTTATTCCAGGATTAACTTCTGCCTTGTAGAGACCTTTTAGGTTTACCTGAAGGAGTCTGCAGGGTCACTGAAGTTGTGGAACCAGCTGCAGTAAAGACAGATGCTGCTCAAGCCTATGTTGTAGATGGGAGCAGTTTAGGTAATGTGCTTTAGAGTGTGTCTGTGTAAACAGACAGAGAGGTGCCCTGACAGTGAGTGCAGTTGATGCTGCTTTCTTGCAGCCCCTTAGGGTAGAACTGGTTCCATGTTGTGGAGGTGTTAAATGTAAAGTGTTATTTTTTCTGCTAAATTATTTCTGGCTCTGAAGACTTCTTACATTACTATTTTGTGCATCCCAGAGACTACTGCCCTTACATTAAGGGAAGCAGAAAGGAAAGCTGAAAGCTGTGGAAAGGTGATGACTGCATGCCTGATCACCTAGAATGCTTCTTACAGCTGTTTCTGGAGTGTGACCTTCAGCTACATCTGTTTCTCTTGTCTTCTTTTCAGGGTTTTTTTGATATCCCTGTTGATAATTTATATGCTGAGCCTGCTGTATTGAAGTGGATCAAAGAGAATATTGCGGAGTGGAAGAACTGCACCATTGTCTCACCAGATGCTGGTGGAGCCAAGAGGTAAGCTGTCAGACTGGTAGCTTGAGGTGGTGCTTCTATGTCTACTTGAATTCCTAAGAGTGCTTGTGACCTTATTTCTGAGACATGTTCCCTCTGCCAGCCTGTCTTCTCTAAGGCTGTGACACCTAGTGAACAGTGGTCAGATGTTCTTTCTAGGAAAGGTTTATAAGGTTTCTTGGGCTACATGGAGGTTTGAATAGCTTCTAGAATCACAGCTGCATAGGTGGGAATTGTGCAATTACTACATCCCTTGGACTAAATCAGTTTTTTAGAGGACAGTTATGCAGGCTGAAGGAAGAAATAGTGAATATATGCTGTATATATCCTATACCAAGACAAGGTTACTGCTGCTGGTTAATGATACATTTTTCTCCAGGCAGTTTTCTTTCTTAGTTCTTTGCAAAATTAAGCTTAGTCTATTGAGGCATTTTCTCACTGTACTACCCTGGATTTGAAAATCTAGCTGTGACTTAAGCCTGCTGCCACTCCCTCCTCTTCCCTGAGAGCAAGGAAGATGGATGGTTACTTTCCAAAAAGCAGCAGCATATGTTATAGCACATTTCTATTTTGATAGTCTGACAAGCTCCCATCTTTGTGCGGACAAACATACCAGTTTGGGCAGTTCAGAATATTCTCGGGTGCTTTGTAGGAGAAAGTAGGCTGTTCCTTGATGCTTCTGTCTAAAGGCTACATGTAAACAGCAAAGGGACACAGATGTAGTTGTTAATCCAGGACAATCACACCGAAGTGTTGGTGTGTGCTGATCTGATTCACATGCTTCAGAATGTTTTGAGTGATGTTACAAACAGCCAAGAGACACTAACACTGTAGGTCACAGTGTCTTCCATGGCTTTGTTGTGCTCCATGTGTTGGACAAGATCTTTTTGTATATTCAGCTATTTCTGTAGCTTGTTGCATAATGTGGCATATGAAGTGCCAAGTCAGATACAATCTGACTCCTGAAAAAAACCTTTTCAAAAGCCACTTAAACTGAAGGGTATCAATCTTGGCTGGTGTGCAGTATGTTATGGATATATCCAAAGCCAAATACTTGAGTAGACAGTTTAGCTTAACAACCTTCTGTAGTACTCCCAGGGTGATAAGGCTGATCTGGTAAGGCTAGAAGTCTGCTTATCCTAAGTGTATAATTTTTTGGGGGCCATGTATATTTTGTTCCTTCCACTCTTAATGCTTTTAACCTCTTCACTGTTCATCGGTATCAATATATAAGGTTTAGGTCCCTCTAATAAGATTGTTCTGTGGTCACTTTAATGGGAATAAATGACTTGCATTTCCTGGGTGTGTACTCCTGCCACTGCTGTGTGCCAGTGCTTGTGTGCGTGATGGCTGAATGTTTACAAGAGTGCAAGTAGATCCCTGTTGTAACAACTTTGGCCTTTCCAGTGTTGTGTTACAAAGGTGACAACTTCCTAAGTGTTCACATCATTTCAAGTTCGCTGAACTTGCTGGTTAATTTTGTTTTCAGCCCAAATGCAAATTCGTTTACAGTGGTCATGATGAAAGACTTATATCTTAATTTAGTTGCTGTCATCAGGAGAGATCAGATCAGAGACTGCGGTTTAGCTGCTTGAAGGGAAGCTAAGGTGGCAGAGTCTTTTATTAATTGCTTGTGCACGGGAACAGATGTGGTGACAGCTTTTCTTGCTGTAGTGGCAGTTTGTGCTTCATATGAAAAGAGATTTGATTGAAGCTGTTGTGTGGAGTTGAATGTCTGGGAACTGTTCTCTCTTCAGGGTGACCTCCATCGCAGATCGGTTGAATGTAGACTTTGCCCTCATTCACAAGGAGCGCAAGAAAGCCAATGAAGTGGATCGCATGGTGCTCGTGGGGGATGTGAAGGACAGAGTGGCCATCCTGGTGGATGACATGGCAGACACGTGTGGGACCATCTGCCATGCTGCAGACAAGTGAGTAGGGCTGGCTGCTTTTTCCTGGCCCATTGTTAGTGAACAGTGTGAGTTAATCAGATTTGCATGTCAAGTTTCACAAAGTCACATACAGCTTCTTGATTATCTCATGTCATAAAAAACCAAGTAAAAAGCCTAGTTAAAGTTTTCACAATGGGAATAGGTAGAAGGCCACAGTGTCTTTTTTTAACTTGAAGACCATCACTCATGTAGACAGGAGGCGAGTCCATAACTGACCATGCCAGTTAGAAACAAGTGCTGAAGGTCCTACATCTGAATTTCTCTTAAAAGCCTTCTACACTAGAAACACACCAGCATATGCAACACTCAGTATTAAATATCTGCTACCTTGTGTTGACAAAAATCACAGAAGGTGATTTGTATGATCTGGTCCAGATGCTCCAGAACCAAGAACAGTGGTTTTTGTTCCATGTGTGCTTTGTCTAGGGGGGACTTCATGGTACCTGTTAAACTGTTTTCTTCCCTCAAGTCAATAGTGGGCTGGAGAGGGAAATCATAGGGTTCAACATAAGCATATTGTATTGTCCTTTTGTGCTTACCATGTGCCCTGCACTAATGTCAGCTTAATACTTGCTGAGAATTACTCATCTTTCTCCTTTACTCCCTCCTCAAAGGCTTGTGTCAGCTGGAGCCACCAAAGTTTATGCCATCTTAACTCATGGGATCTTCTCTGGGCCAGCAATTTCTCGGATCAACAATGCCTGTTTTGAGGCAGTTGTAGTCACAAACACAATACCCCAGGAGGACAAGATGAAGCAGTGCCCTAAAATCCAGGTGAGCATTTACTTTCTCTTCTGTCATTCCTGGGGGGTGGTAGCACTGGTCTGTTCTGTTGGGGTTGAAAACCCAAAAATAGTGTAGTGCTCCCAGCAGTTTCGTTGGTACTGTGATGAGTGTTGACTAGTTCTCTTGTCTGTTACCCCCCAACAATAGGAACACGTTACTCTGATAAAATGCAGCTTCTAATCCAGCTTGTGTCAAACAGTTCAGTAAATTCTTTCAGGGCTTGTTTTAGCTGGATCAGATCTCTGATTTAATGGGGCCGTGATGTAAGCAAGTAGCTGTATGTGTGCCCTTTGGAGGAGTGATGTGCTGATGAGCAATACTGGAGCAGAAGCAGAGAGGAACTTCTGACGTTTGTGCTGACAGCTTTGTTGTGTATCTATCATTTAATGCCCAGCCTTTAAAACAGAGTTGTTTGTGAAGCAAAGTAAGCCTAGGGAAGGGGAATGCTTCCTAACAGCAGTGCAGGTAAGCTGGAAGAGGGAGTGCACTCTTGCCCCATGTACATGTCTTGCTGGTTTGACGAAGAGCAGTTGACATACTTCACAGTACAGTGCTTAGATCCTTGTCAAATAAATACTTTGCCATCCCTATGAAAGCTAAAAGTTGATCTGTTGATGCTCACTCTCTTGGGTTTTCTGTATAGGAAACTTGTTTCCCAAGTTGATACTTAATTCCCTGGAAGAAAAAATTGGCTGGACAACTTGAGCTGAGCAAAACTTGAGGCTTTCCTGCATTGATGGGAAGTTGCAGCTTTAGCTGAGCATTCAGGTGTAATAGGTTCATCAGAAGCCTCAGGTCCTGAATCACAGAATGGGTCAGGTTGAAAGGGACCACAGTGGGTCAGTCATCTGGTCCCACCACACTGCTCAAGCAGGGCCATCCTAGAGCATATGGCACAGGATTGTGTCCAGATGGTTCTGGAATATCTCCAGCAAGGGAGAATCCACAACCTCTCTGGGCAGTCTGTTCAGTGCTCAGTCACTGCAGAGGAAAAGTTATTCCTCATGCTCATGTGGAACTTCTGAACATCAGTCTCTGCCCATTGCCTCTTGTGCTATTGCTCAGCACCATGGAACAGAGTCTGGCTCCAGCCTCTGACACCTCCCTACAGATGCAGACATTGAGTTCCTTCTCAGTCATCTCTTCTCAAGACTAAACAGCCCAAACTCCTTCAGGCTTTCCTTATCTTTGTCATCCTCCACTGGACCTGCTTCAGGAGCTCCATGTCAATCTTGTCCTGAGGAGCCGAGACCTGGACACAGCACTCCAGATGTGCCTTATCCAGGCTGAGTTGAGGGACAGGATCACTTCCCTGACCTGCTGGCAATGCTCTTCCTAATGCATCCCAGGATACCACGGACCTTCTTGGCCCCCAAGGCACACTGCTGGTTCATGGACAGCTTGTTCTCCACCATGACCCCCAGGTCCTTCAAGCTGCATTCCAGCAAGTCACCCCCAGCATGTACTGGTGCCTGGGGTTATTCCTGCTTGAGTTCAGGACCCTGCACTTGCCTTTGTTGAACTTCAGATGTTTCTTCCCTCCCCATCTCTCCAGCCTATCAAGGTTCTTCTGCAGGACTGCACAGCCCTCTGAGGTATCAGCCACTCCTCCCAGCTCTGTGTTGTCAGTGAACTTGCTGAGGAGGCATCTGCGCCTTGTCCAAGTCATTGATGAACCTTGGGGGACACCACTAGTGACAGGCCTCCAGCTAGACCCTGTGCCACTGATCACAACCCTCTGGGATCTGCTGTTCAGCCAGTTCTCAATCCACCTCACTGTCCACTCATCCAACCCACACTTCCTGAGTTTGCCCAGGAGGATGTTGTGAGACCATGTCAAAAGCCTTGCTGAAAACAAGGCAGACAATATCTAGTGCTCTCCCTTCATTCATCCAGTCAATTTTTCATTGTTGAAGGCAATCAGGTTGGTCAGGTATGGTTTACCTTTAGTGAACTAATGCTGACTACTCCTGATCACCTTCTTGTCCCCCATGTGCGCAGAGATGGCCTCCAGAATGAGATGCTCCATGACCTTTTCAGGGACTGAGGTGAGGCTGACTGGCCAGTAGTTCCCTGGATCCTCCTCCTCGCCTTTTTTGAAGATGGTGACGCTTTCTTCCAGTTCTCAGGCACCTCTCCTGATGGCCATGACCTTTCAAAGCTGAATTTGAGTGGCCTGGCCGTGAAGTCCACCAGCTCGCTCCACACTTGTGGATACATCCCATCAGGGTCCATGGACTTGAGGATGTTGGGTTTGCCTAAGTGTTCCCTAACGCAGTCCTCCTTGACTAAGGGAAAGTCTTCCTTCCAACATTCCTTTAGTGTGGTCTCCTGGGTCAGGGATCCCTGAGGGCTGGTCTTGTCAGTATAAACCAATGCAAAGAAGGTGTTCAGTAACTGCCTTCTCTGCATCCTCTGTCACCAGGGTCCTCCCTCCAGTTAGGAATGGGCCCACATTATCCTTAATTTTCTTTTTATTATTGATGTATTTGAAAAAGCCCTTGTTGTCCTTGATGCCCTTAATTCCAGATGGGCCTTGGCTTCATGGCACAAATATCTAGGACAGAGGTGTTTGGGAAA